AAAAAAAAAAAAAAAAATTACCAGCCAGGCACGGTGGCTCATGCCTGTAATCCCAGCACTTTGGGAGGCCGAGACAGGCAGATCACGAGGTCAGGGGTTTGAGACCAGCCTGACCCGCATGGTGAAACCCAGTCTCTACTTAAAAATACAAAAATTAGCCGGGCATGGTGGTGCACACCTATAATCCCAACTAGTTGAGACGCTGAGGCAGGAGAATTGCTTGAACCCGGGAGGCAGAGTTTGCGTGAGCTGAGAGTTTGCCATTGTACTCCAGCCTGGGTGACAGAGTGAGACTCCGTCTCAAAAAACAAAAACAAACAAAAAAACCTTTTCATGAAGAATCTTTCCAACAACCAGAAGGTCTAAATCAGCTCAGATTGCTACAAAGAATTTGCATTTCTAAAGCAAGTTGTGTTGTGTGAAAAAAAAAAAAAAAAAGAACAGGAATAAACTATACTGATGTATTGAATCAATTAGTCAGTTTTCCATAAATGCTCATTTAATGTCAACTTCTACTTAAGTATTTTGGGGAATTAGACTGAAAAAAGCCCACATTTATCCTGTTGAACTACCGATCAAAGGCCATTTCACAAACTTGGCCTCTATTAATTTGTCAGAGCCAAAATTGTGAATTTCTGACCATTAATAAAATAAAAAATGTTGTTATTTTTTTATTCAATTCCTCCCAGTTCTGAGGACCACCACCAGAAAAATCAAGTCAATTATATTCAGAAAGCTTGTTTAAAAATGCCTCAGGTATCAGGAGAATCTTTATTTCCTTTTGACAGCAGGAGCACTGTAATCTCAGACAAACACCATCACTTTAAGTTCCAGCTCCTTTTCTAGCCTCATGCATTTCGAAGAAATCACTTCTCTTCTAACTACCAGCAACCAGAAAGGGCAGACAGTAAAACACAGAAGACAGCTAGGACACAGAGGGAGGTGGGCGGAAATTCTCTTGGGTAACCACCAAACTTCATCTTCATACAGTGGGCCCCAGTAAAACAGTTAATAAGTACATTCCTTTCCCTTCAGGTGCACTAAGATAGGGAAGCTAAATGCAGGCTGGGGATATGCCTGCAGCTGCAGAAAGATGTGTGGGAACAGACACACAACTCTCCCTCTTAGGTAAGCATAACAAAGAAAGAGAGAAGCAGTTTGAACCTCTGATAAACTCTCCTACCCGGAATCCTTAAAAACTCAGTCTGAGGCTGAGCACAGTGGCTCACATCTGTAATCCCAGCACTTTGGGAGGCTGAGGCGGGTGGATCACCTGAGGTTAGGAGTTCAAGACCAGCCTGGCCGACATGGTGAAACCCCGTTCTCTACTAAAACTAAAAAAAAAAAAAGTAGCCAGGTGTGGTGGTGGACGTCTGTAATCCCAGCTATGCTGGAGATTGAGGCAGGAGAACTGTTTGAATTTGGGAGGCAGAGGTTGCAGTCAGCCAAGATATGCCATTACACTCCAGCTTGGGCGACAAGAGTGAGACTCTATTGTTCTCTAGTCTACCCCAACAGTCTTTGTTTTCAGCAAGCATTAGGCTCTTTCCTTGCAATTTCTCTCCTGTGGATCCGGCAGGTCTAGACAGGAAAATGTCTGGATGTTTTGTCTAGATTAAAGCAGTACTGTGGTCTTTGTCCCTGAGAATGCATTCAGTGCCTCCCCTCCCTCCAGCTTCCGTAGAAATTGCCTGTTGTCAGTAAAGCCTTTCAACTTTTGCTTCATATTTATTATGTACCAGATGCTGCTGTACTTGGAGATTCAGAGATAGAACACATTGTCACTACCCTCACTGCCCACTAAGAATGACAGAAAAATTAAGATGTGTGACAGGTGGAATGTTGCAGGGAAGTATAAGGTACCAAGGGGAAACAGAAAAGGAACCAAACTGAAACTTAGAGAGATAGGCAGTATTCTGGAGAAAGGCAATGTCTGAAATGAATACTAGAAAATTAGTATGCATTTGATAAAGAGAAGGAAGCATCTTCAATGAAAAAGAGCAGTGTTTAAACGTAGTACTTTTGGGCCACAGCACAGAACATAAGGGGTGGAAATGTAAAGAGATGAGACTGGTCACCTCAAAGGGGACTCTGTCTGGCACTCTGTTCCTCCCTGTGAAAATCCACCATTGAGCTGAATCTATGCTATGTCTTAAGTGACAGGAAGATGAATTCTCAACTCTGAATATGGAAGGAATTCTTCCTACCTCCTCCTGAATGTCCTTGTTGTCTCCATGAGGGCAGAGGTCACCCTGAAAAAAATTTCTTCCCCTTTTTATGATTCAGGGTCCTGCTCCATCTGGGTGTCCTTCCCACACCGAGTACCGTAGAGTTGACAATAGGCTCACATCCTTGGGGTTGGGGAGGATAGGCAAAGCATTTGGGAAAACATGGAGAAATTGGATAATCTCCTTCTTCTCTTGGGCTTTCCTCTCTGGTTTATTTCCTCAGATGTTGTCGTTCTGCCAGGTGAACAAGGTGGCTTTCTAATCCTAAGGAGGATGCGTCATGCCTTTTTATGGCCGTGCATAAGTCAGCCATCAGAACCCACCCTTCCTTCCCTTCCTGTAGAAAGAATGTCTTCCCCAATGTGACCACTGTCTTAGATTTCAACAGGCGTATTTCCAGTGAAAGACAATTATCTCAATTATCTCACAAATGAAAGACAATTATCTCACAAGAAATGTTACTACAAAAACAACACGGGGCTAGAAGGCTAGGGGCACATATGGAGGGGCCACACCATTTACCTCCTATCTTTGAAAGGACTTAGCACACTAAGGTAGTTTGTTTCATCTCTAGGTGTGGGAAAATGTTCCACTTAAAGCCTTGTCTTTACTTTTTTGCTAATGGGACTTTTGCACAAAGTATCAGTTTTCTTCTTTTACATCCCTACCTTCCCTGGCTCCCGTATTAGCCTGAGGGCAGGGAGGGAGAAGGCTGAAGTCACTGGTTTCGAACTAATCTCTCTACTGAAGGGTGGGAAGATCCTTTGTGCATAACTTTAGTTTCTAATGGAGATGTCTTTAGATGAGGACTAATCTGGACATCAGGAGCCCAGCAAACAGCAGTGCTTTTTGGAGAGAGGTTAAACATGTGGTAAGAAAGTAAGACGTGAAAGAAAGAGAGAGAGAGAAAGGAGATTTGCCATTCAGACTCTGTTTAAAAAACAAAAACAAAAACAATTTAAATAGAGTCTAATTTCCTAGACTCTGTTTAAAAAACAAACAAACAACAGCAACAAAAAAACCCAGCTGACCCTTCCTTCAAGAAAAGGTGATTAGGAATATTTCTGCATTTGTCTGTCAACTACATCAAGGCCAGGTCACTGCAAAAATTTAGAAGCATTAACAATGAGAAAGAAGGAGAGGATGGAGCTTGAGCTTGACTGACCATGGAAGGCTATGACCATCATCTACCTTTCTTCTGCATGACACCCAGGGGAAGTGTTTATATCTCACGTAACACAGACATTGTGTTTTCTCCCTGATGACTTAAAATGAATTGGGAATCCCTCCCCTGGCTTCAGGGTTAGTAAATGATGGGAGCCCCATGGGCTTGATGAGATAAGGGACATTTCCCTATTTCATCTCTAGTGAATTCTACTGCTTCTCTCAGCCTTGCACCTTATCTCCTGGTGATAATACATATGTTCCACATACCCAAACATTGAGAATTCTGGGCCATTGTTCAAGTTTTTTCCATTTGTGTCCATTCTATGCCCCTGACTAAAATCTTGACTTTTTCTACTCATGTCCTAAGACTCAGTTTAGTCTAGTGCATATCTGGTCTTCTGAGAAGGCTTCCCCTACCCACCATCCTCAGTCCTACTACCCTACCCACTCTCCCGC